TGCCGATTTCTACTATTTATTCAGCCTGCAAAGGAGTCTGGTAGAGACTAGGTAGTCCTATATATAGCCCTCACAAGAGTCCTATATACACATGTATATATATATAACTTATAAGACTACTGGCAAAATACACCCGATTCAAGAGTCACCACAGCTCAAGTACTGTATAGCCATTGTCCTCAAAATGGCAAACTACATTCAGCAACCTTTTACGCTCCACGTTTGCAAAAGGAAAATATAATATTTCTATCCAAACAATCAAAAATTATAAAACCAGCACACACCAGAAATATCTGTCTGTTTTCTGTCACAATTTATGCTACACATACTAGTAGTATACAAAATGTATGTAAGAGCCTCTCAAAAAACATACTAGACAATAAAAATCCCACATTTAAACTGAATGAAATAATGGTACAAACTTCAACTCACAAGTTCAATAACCTTGCCACAAAAGGTCTGACCAAAATACTTGTTTGAACAGCAATGCCAAAGTCATGGTGAATACTAGTAGTTTAAAGCTCAATGACTATATGATTATCCTTTATGATAAATTAAATACACAACGTTATGTGTAGATAAAATATGTTGTGATGGTTGAGACAGGTCAGAATAGGTACTTCAAAGTCATGGTCAAAATTTGACTTAATAAAGGTTTAAAACACTTTACAATTGTCCTGATATATAACTTTAATACATAACGTTATGTGTACTTGTAGTAGATGAAATGTTTGATTTAGGTTGCGATGGTTCAGAAAGGTCAGGGTTGGTACGACAAAGTCATGTTCAAAAATAGACTTAAGGTTTAAAGCTCAATGACTTAAGTTAACCTCTGTTATGTTAATATTCTAACTTTAATACATAACGTTATTTAGATGATGTTTAATTTTGGTTGCGATGGTAGAGAAAGGTCAAAATTGACTCGTTTGCCAAAGTCATTGTCAAAATTTGACTAATATAAAGGTTTAAAGCTCTCTCACAGACTGTATAGCGTTAGAGTGTAAAGTAAGTCAATGACTAACTTTACACTCTAACGTTATACAGTCTGTGAGTATATAAAACTTTAATACATACGTTATGTGTACATAAAATGTTTGATATGGGTTGCAATAGTAAGAAAAGGTCAGAGTTAGTTGGTACGATTTGACCCGATGAGGACACGTCCATGTGGGTCAACAGCCGAACTGAGGAACGCACACTGCTGCCAAGGTTTGGGACCAAGCGTACCGACAGACACAACAACGGTCACACGGTCAAACTCTGCCCCAAATTCTCCCCGAAATACCTGCACAACCACGCAGGAAACAAAGATCTCTAGCGAAGATACATCGACACAAAAAGGGCGTGAAACCGTCCGTAACATTACCCGAGGAGCGAGTCAAACGACAGGGTTATTTTCCAAGGCCAGGTTTGGGGAGATTCTGCTTCCCACACGTAAACGTTACGAGGGGCCGCTCGCTGCTCTCGACTTACCGTCCCGTTTGGTCTTCTTCCGCTCTTCGGCGGTCATCGTGGGTGTCTCCGACGACGACTCCAGAGTGACTGCCGTTGTCTGTCGTTGACGTAGAGAAGAATAGCTTGAGGGTTTGTTGATCGCTAGCTGGAGTAGAAAATATACGCCGGTTGCCTCCAGCACTCACGGCTGGCTCTCATGTCTACAAACACGTCCTGCCGAGCCAGAATATGACGTCAGGGTCGCAAGGTCAAATGGAGACGACTCCACTCTTCATGTGGGGGTCAAGTTTGTTTTCATTCTTCAAACTTCGAATTAAAAATGTCTATTCTTTGTATGTCAGCATTTTTCCTGGATGACTCTAAATAAAATCATTTGACGTAGAATACACAATTCTAGATGTCAAATTGAGTAACTGGGTACAATTTATTAGAAAAACGCCCACCCCTATTAATAGGATAGGCATGTTGTTGAAACTGACAACAGTTGTTTTGTTTTACACTGGGTATAACTTTACGTGTGCTGCCTTTTTCTGTGTCATACAAATTTGTGAACTAAAAACATTGTATCTTTTATTACAAAGACAACGGACATGAAGTCTTCCTTTACCTGTAAAACCAAACTTCTATCTTTTACAAGGAGTCAAGGACAGGCTAGAAAAACAGCCCCAATCCATGTAGACATAACAGTTACAGACATTTTCGAACCAATTAAACACCGTAAACTTAATGAGGTGTGCGCGTGAATGTAGTTTATAATGTCACCTTTTGTTATGACGTCACTAGGGCGTTTTTCAACAGGTGCGAAAGCGGATCCTCTTACTTGATGACGTCATTGATGTCGGGTTACATGGTATAGCCACAACAATGGGAATGACTACCTCATCTCCAAGCTGAAGTTTGGCGTTTTTTTGACATGCCGAGCTTTCTATATTGTTGTCAGCTAACTGGATGTCTGTAGCCTTCGGATGTCTTCGGAAGCGGCTGGAAAGAGTAGACTTCGGCCAGGGGAGTTGGTCTGCTAAAGGAGTGGCAAACTGAACTGTTTTAATTAGTGCGCCAACTCCCTGGCATGTTATCTGTCTATTTGTCCAATATCTACTCTGTCGTTAAGATGAGCGTTAAGTGCCTAATGTCAACCGTTTTAAGTATGTAAAAAGTACACAATTCAGCCTATGGCCCAATTCTTAGCTCCTATGGCTGCGATGTACTTTTCATATAAAATTATCAAATAAACCATTCATTCATTCATTCATGTTTGAGTGGAAGGTCTGCTGATTACCCTCTTGCTGACGGAGCGGATACAAAAATTACTCTACGATCTCCGAGACTCCCAACATCTGCTTGGATATAAAGTAAAGCTTGATTCAACCACCCTTGCTTAGACCAATGCTAGCCTCCACCAGGCTTCAGAAGCGGCTGGAAAGAGTAGAAATTGGTCAACTAAATAGTCAGATATCGTACCAGGGGAATTGGTACGGTAAATGAGTACAGTTTGCCGCTCTCCCTAGCCGCTTCTGAAGCCTGATAGACCAGTGTCCATACCATACTTTTGGGATCAGCAATCTGTAATGTTGGCTTACAGCCCACTACGGCAGACAGCTACATATCGATTGACCATAGCCAGGATGCCAGACCTTCCTGTCAGTCTGCGGTTACACCATTTCACCAGTTCTGTGAACCTGAATTTTTTTGTTTGTAAAGTGGGCCTCCGGAGTTGGCGTCATAGGTATGGTGCAATCTGTAGTAAGGCGAAGGGGAATTCAAACCGGTTCCAGGCCGCTTTTCGGGTAGAGGAAGCTGTACTCTGACGATCATTTTCTGGAGAACTTCAGTACATGTAACGTCATAGACTTACTGGTGAAATCTCGTGAGATCGTTTCAATGGGTGAGCATGAGTGATTATGATTATATATGATCAAGGTCCTTGGTATGAGAGGGACAGTGGAGGAGTCAGTTCCAACTGAGCGATTGGAGTGTGTTCTTCAATAAGCTTCTTCTTGCCAAGTTCTCATCTCCAATTGGCCAAAAAAGCAGAAATGGCGTCTGGTCTCTGTCCAAGTGCCAAATGTACTGAGCTCCTTGGTCCCTATCCAAGTATTAGCCTGATAACTATTCTCCACGGGCCGGTTCAGTAGGTGTATAGTGTTTTAGGAGCTCAGAGAATTCAGGTATTCTTTTTGACAGCCGGGCTGTGTGATTACTGCAAACCTACGCTTAGGCGAAGTAATTCAAACCGACCCCGTAAAAAATCCTGGCGTGCGCTAATGGGCCTGGACGGGCGGGCAATGCTCCCAGCGCCGTAGAGAGACTACGATGGTCTGGGTACGAAGCTATCGAAGAACCCGTTACAATGGGAAATTGGAGATCATTGGATAGGGACCAGGGAGCTAAATACGGACGGGCAACAGTCTAGATTTGGAGGAACAGTGACATTAACAGTAAACGCGTGGGAAATGATGTAACCATCACAGAGGTAGGAATACTTGTTTTAGAGTTCTGCATATTGCAGAAAGTCTGCAAATACACACTTTTAATTCCAGACCTAAACCAATGGTATGCATGTATACAAATTGCATGTTGGCAAACATCTTACATACTGAAACACACCAGAGATAAACTGAACCCCCAACCTCTGCTTGGAGACTAGTACACTAGTACTTCTTTCTAGTACTATACTTCAATTATGTAACATAGTGCATTTGGCTCATGTAGGATGTGAATATGCAATAAACGAGCGATATCGCCTTTTTCCGTCCTCGATGGAGCCTGCAGTCGAGGCTAACGTAACCTTGACGTCATGTACGCGTAGAGAGAGAAAAACGCCTGACACGCGCGCTGACGCCGTCTGGGGCACACGCGCGGGAAGATTCCACGAAATCTTCGCCTTGTACGAGGAATTACGCCTCAGCCATGATAGCTTCTTTCTGCTTTTGTCCTCCTCAACGGCGTTGAAGCATGATGATTTTTACAAGTAGCTACTAATGCAATGTGGCTTCGCTACGGCTCGCGTATAAGCTGATAGAAGGAAATGCGTTTATTGTAAGTTTATGCTCTTATAAAGCATAGTACAGCTTTATGTTTGAAATGTCCAAAGCTGGGATGTTCATCTTGTTTAGAGGATGTACAGTCAGCAACAAAATGACACTCAATTTTATCTGAATTGCAATATTGGCAAATTCTTTGCTAAGCACACCAGTTCACCTCTACTCTCACTTCTTGTTGGGTTATTTCAAGCGTCTGTAGGTTTCACACATGTTTCCTCACCTTTCCCGACATGTACATTTTTTCACACATAGAACATTTTAAAATACGCTTACAACAAGAAAGACGCACACAATGGTTAAAAAAAGACGACGATAAAGTTTAGTTGAGTCTCTTGGGCCTTTATAATATGACTATGGCCGTGAGGAGTCTGTTTGTAGTGAACACACGTTAACAGGGAGACCTGAAGGCATGAGATGATTAGCCTGGTTACCAAACCTATTATAGCTCCCGAGTCCTACATCCTCTCCTCTATTTGCGGAGAGGATGTAGGACTCGGGAGCTATAATAGGTTTGGTAACCAGGCTATGAGATGATAGCTAAACCACGCATTTCCGTTATTCACTGGAAATATCGATCGAGACCCACGCGTCATTTCTCTGTCTGTATTCCTCACGTCAACTCACGGATTTTTCCTAGTACGTCGTAGATTTGAGAAGAAACGGGGGCAGTAGTTTTAGAATTGAACTATCGCACCCGTATGTGTGTGCTTGTGTTTTGCGTAGGGTCTCATATATTTGATTGTACATGTAGTACAAAGATTCTTTTAGTGGTTTTCAGATGGGAAAAGTTATTGGAAATTGTAGAAACTGCATTGAATGCAATTTCCCGGCAGTAAAACTGGATTTTCAACGTCAATTTTCTGGTCATCCTTTAATTGCTGCCAGCAGTAAGTTAAATCAACCCTATCCCATAGCATGCTGATATCTGTGAGGCAAAAATTTGATGTCGCTGGTGGAAAACGGTTGCTTGCCTTGTATTGTAGATACGTTCTACTAATATAAGCAATTGATGGGCAGTGCGCAAAAATAAAGAGATGCCTCGCGTAGCTTCTTATGGGGTTATTCCAAACGCTTCAAGTATGAAATGATGATGGAAATGTGCTACAAAATCACAGTAAATGTCAATATCTGACATATTTCGTCATCCAGATTATATTTTTCTTTTTCCGCCTTGAAAAAGTTGTATCGGATGCCTTTTAACATAACATAACCGGTTACAGACATGTGTGAGTCAGAAAATTGAACTGCACAGATGTTTGCCTGAGGGGTCCGGGTGCACCCGCGTCTGAGACTTCCTGCGTCGCTCTGCCGGATTCGGAGAAAAAGATGTTTATTCACGACGCTGTGTAACGTCAGGGCGTAGCAGATTGTATAATATGGCTCCGAATGGTTTCAATGGGGTTACCTGCAAATAATCTTCTCGATGTCACGTAGCACACGTACGGAGCGGGGTCAGCGTTCTTCAGGTCATTTTCCCCAGAGGTGTATCCGCATTCTTGGTTGTATTTCCCGGAAATGGAATATGGTTAACCTATGTGTTATAACGGATAACAGAGTTTCAGTCCAATAGAATGAATGACGACCTTTATTGCACATTTTTGCCACACTGGGCTAAAACTATCAGCAGCTCAGATAAATGGCTTATATTTAAATGTCTCTCTTCTCTCTGTCTCTCTCTCTCTGTCTCTCCGCTCTCTGTCTCTCTCACTCACTCACTCTCTCTCTCCGTCTGTGTGTGTGTGTGTGTGTGTGTGTGTGTTTGTGTGTGTGTGTTTGTGTGTCTGTGTCTCACGGTGTCGTAGCATACCTAGCTTGGTCGAGTATACCAGGCATAAAGACGCTATGGGACCTATGGATCATTGCATGGCCTATGACTGTATGACGATATTAGCTACGTGAGTAACGTTAGGTCTTGTACCAGCAGACCTATATTAACCTTGTGTGTGGGAGGAGTTAACTACAGTACAGTAATGTCATCATTCCATCAGCTCACTCCCCGGCGGCGCATGCGTAATTCACCACTACTCCACACGCTATCAGTCGGTCAATCTACATATGGAGCCAAGATATCTCCAAGCAGATGTCTGGCGGCAAAAGCGTTACGCTTAGAACTGGTCATCTAGAGAGAGTCCTCAGCCATGTAACTGGCTAATGGATACTGACTGGCCAAATTGATGCTATTT